AGAGATTTAACAAAAATAAGAACACAACTTTGACTATTTAAAATGTATATTCTTTCACAAGATACTACTAACTCAATTGCATATATGATGAATGAAATGAACAAGGTATTAAGAGACTTCATTCTTGAAAAAACTATGTCTTTTTTAGATGATGTTCCTATCAAAGAATATAAAAAAAGAAAAAAAAATAAGAATTTAGATAAAAAGGGATATCATAAGTATGTTTTTGATTGTATATAAGATTGTAAAAAGATTTTAACTCCACTTGAAGAAATTCATCTCACACTTTTAGGAACAAATTCTATATTTGAAATATAAGAAGTTGTCATTGTCAAACATTTGTATAGATTTCATGAAAGAAAATCGGATCCAAGCAAAGTTGATGCAATTGGAAGGATGATGGATACATGTGACTCTTTAATAAAAGTATGTAAGTTTTTAAAAGCTTGTGTGTTTTATTATATATGGATTCTTGATTATGCTCAAATAATGAAATGTTTTGTTTATACCAATAATGAAGAGATGTAGAATATTTACCAATGATAAAGAGCTACTTGAATTATTCACTAAAAAAATCTAGTAAGATCAATTACAACAAGCAACTTAACATTTACACACACTATCAAAAGTACCATCTCTTAGCAAATACACCAGAATGTCGTGTTAAATTTTACTTCTCAACTAAAATTGTAAGATAGCCTTAATTAAGAGTTTTTTATAATTGGTAGTATAAAGTGGAAGTAGAAAAAATAAAAAAAAGGAAGTACAATACAAAATAAGTGAAACAAGTGCAATCAAACAATTGTACACTATAAAACTAATCACAATCTATTTATTAGATTTTTATCTTATAAAAAATAAAAATGAAAAATATATTTTTAGATAGATAATATTTTTATCTTTTTAATGACATAAAAAACATATAAATCCAAGTTATTATGAATAAGTTATAATAGGTTAAAGATAGAGATAAATATTAAAAAAGTTAAGTAAATAATTTTTATCTCAAAGATAACTTGCTTAAGAAATCAAGAATTCGAGTCTCATCAAGGCTCACAAATAGTGTATATGGATCTCTAAGAGAGGCCACAAGGCCTTAGTCTTATCCTCCTAACTATCTTCAAGGTGCTACAATCCATATGGAATTTGTGCATCTCCTTTCTTACAAAGACTAGACTAGCAATTGGTCCTCCTATTTTCTACTAATAGATCCAATGTTTTTATATTTTTGACTTCATTATGGTGTTTAAAAATACCTAATAAGTCTAAAAACCTTATGTGGCCTTCAATTCTTGCTCCATTTCTTTATAATGGCTTCCAAAATAGTAAAACTCATTTTTACCAAAGTCTTAAAAATTAATCTAAAAATTCTAAATAAATTCTAAATAAATTCTAAATGAAATAAAAGATATAAAAAAATTCTTAAAATAATACTATAATATTAATATCAATTTAAACCTATAATTTCCTATCTTAATATTTTTTTATAATAAAAAAATTAATTTAAATATACTATAAATCCTAATTTTTATATAAATAAGTAAAAAGACATGAGGTTCTTTTTCATACTTCTTTTAATTATTAATTAATATTTAAAAAAATTATAAATAATACATATATATATATATTAGACCAATATAAATATTTATCCTAATAAATAATCTTTAATACTCAATAATAAATAAAAATATTAAATCTACTAAGATAATTACCTCCAAGACTTATTAAGACTCCATTTCTACAATTAACATTCTAATTTTTTATTTTTCTAAGGATTTTTATACTACTCACCATATATTATGATTTTAAGCATTCTAAATGCATCTTTTTGTTTTAAAATAACTAGTGAGTCGAATTAATGACTCACATATGTATTGCAAGTATTGATAGTTTATATAAAAAATTAACCATATGAGAAACTTACCTTATAAGTTAAAATATGTGTCTTGCAAATTGGACATATGTTGGAGGTCTTATAGAATATTGTTATATAGCTCCTAATTAGATAGTATATATAGAGGCAAGAATGAAGCCTTCACTCTTATTAATACCTTTCTAGTCCTTAGTCTTATTTCAAAAATTTCTAGTCTTCTTGTTTTTTGGCAATAGTTATTATAGTTTCAACACTAAATTAGTTTTGAGTAAATATCTAATTTTTTTGGGTGACACAAGAGTGTATTTATTTTTATTGTTTTTTGAAATTCATGTGCTTGATAATTATTTATATTCTATTATCATTGAATATTAAAATTTGATGCTTTTACGTATTTAATTAGGATCAATCTAAATTTATAATTCAAATATATGAGGATATCTTCTTCAAGCTAATATTTTATAATAGATCTATATTTTTTTGGATCAAAATACAAAATAAAAAATATCTTTAGATTAATATTTAATAATTTTAATTAATTCAAGATGTTTTCTAAAGTAATATACACATTTAAAGAAAACCTACAAAAAATTATTGATTGAAACACTTTGACACTAGATGCACACAAAAATATGTTAAAAAAAGTAATCAATTTTTTTTGTTATCATTTGATTTATGATGATCATATTTGTATTATTCTATATCTTTTGTAGATTAATAATAAAAAGACGTTAAAATTTGGTTGTTTCATACAAATTATTCTCAAGTTTAGATCATCTTAAAGATATTATCAATACATTTTGTTAAAATCTCTTACTTGTTATTCTTATTAATGTCAATTTAAACGAATCTTTTTTCAAGGTGCTTGTTAATAATGTTGTTTATATCAAGTTTGTAGAAAACAAATTGCTCCTATGAATAGGTGAGTAGGTTTAAAATATCCATAGGATTGAAATATAATGAATTTTAAAATTTATGGTTTTAAGTCCTACATGGCATCATTATCCAAGAAGTCATCATTCCTAAGGTCTTCAACAACTTTCTCTAAGTGCATATCTTATAGTAGAAGAAATAATTTTTTTTAAAAAAATAGTTTTTTATCACATTTTTATGTCAAGGCTACTATTTGGATTATATGAAGAATATCATTTTTTTCAAAGTTTTTGAAATTGTCTTAAAAGGACTAAAAAATGAGACAATTAAAGTAGTGATAATAGTATACTTAAAGATTACACATCGTGCCATCTTTTATAAGGCTAAATTTTAAAAATTATATTTGTTGAAGATAAAGGATTGTCGTTTTTCATACTTGAATGTGGTTTAAAAGATGTTCAAGAGAAATATTATCTTTGTAGTTATTTAGAATTAAAAAAAGAATACTTTAATCTATTTTTAAAAGATAATTTTAGTTTTTAATAATACTTTAATATTGAATCCAAAAATATTGATATTAAAATCTATTAAGTAATATATATTTTTGTATTTTTTTTTACCATACAAAACATATGTTTATGACTTCCATTGCTATTATATTAACTAAAAAGTTTTTTTTTTTTTTTTTTTTTTTTTTACTTGGAGCCTTTAAGTTATATAGACATTAGTTAATTCTCTCTTTACAAGAAATTAATGGAATCGAAAAAATAAATAAATAAATAAAGAGACTAAAACAGTAAATTTACTTATAAAAAAACTAATTCTATTTATATTGTTGATGTGACTTCAAGCATAATTCTTAAAAAGCTTCTAAACAAAAATAATATTATATGTAATAAGACTTGGATTCATTATATTGCACTTGTAAAAGAGGTAAAAATAACAAATGATTTTTTTTTCTTTAAATAACTTAAATCAACTATCATAGGACTCAAACACATCTCATTTAAGACAAAATTGATCTTGAATCTTTATAATATTTTTTTAGTAAATTTTATCTAAATATAGAAATTTAAAAATTAATCTTAAACTTATTAATAAATATATACATTCTATTATTGGATTTTTAATAATAATATCTTTCAAATTTTAGATATTATGGCATGAGTGACCTTAATATTGTGAATTACTTTTAGTCATTTAGTTAGTCAATTTTATGAAATTTAAAAATGATTTTTTCTAAATCAATAAAAAAGAATTTCAATTTTTTATATTATTATCATGTGTTGAATTTCTTTTATAGCATCTTTGCTATGTCACACTTTTTCACGACATGTTAGCTAAATATAATCTTTTAATTTAAAATAGATTGGCTATAGTATAATCTTAAATGTTGATTTAGGGTAACTATGTCTATAAAATGAATGAATAAATTTTTTGAGTTGTAAAAATTCTCCCTGGAAACAAAGTATACCGTGTACATTGAGTGCTGTTCTGTATGACAACAAAAAAAAAAAAAAAAAAAAAAAAAAAAAAATCTTTGAAGCAAGAGTGATGGTTGAACAAGCCGTTATCCGAGAATGTCATAATATAGTAAAAAATTGTTATTACAAAAGTTTGAAACTTTAGCAAAGAGAGTTCATCCCTTAAAACAAGAGTAGGAAAAGGAAGCCAAAATTAATTAATTAATCAAAACAGAAACAGAGAAAATTGTGTGCTATGCAACACATGATAGAGCAGATTTTTCCCTAGGCGGTGGTGGTGGTGGGAATAATGCCTGTAAAAGCTAGTGTGTTATAGAAATTTTGGAGGTAATTTGTGAAAGGATTTTGGGAGTTAATTTGTTAAAGGAATTTGGGGGGCATACATATCATTCGGGAATTGAAGGATTTGGGATTGAGAGACAAGCCCCCCTGAACAAACTTCAGCATACATCCAGACAGCCCCTTGGGGGTTTAAACTTGGAAACTCGTTCCCAACCTGCCCGATCCCGCTGGTTCCCCTACGTTCCAAACATACGTTCCCATACATTGGATCGTAGGTTCGGATTGAATCCGATCGGTATCTACGATCCGACGGCCCACGATGGCGGAGCCAGTTGTAGGGCCACATCGAGGGCCCAATGCCGAGAGAGAGAGTACAGCGAGGCCGGTAAAAGTACCGCCATGCTCCTCCACGCATTCTTCGCGACCCTCTCTCCCTCTCCGTGGTCCCGGAATCCGTGCCGGCCCGCGTGCGATCGCATTCCTTCGCACCCCAGGTCCCGCAATCCCCTTCCTTCCCTTACCGCCCTTCGCTGATTCGTCTCACTCTTTCCTTCTCTCCCAATCACTCTGTGCATTGTGGGGTGGGGAGAAGGACTGTGTAGCGATCTCGCTCTGTGTGCAGGATCGCTCGAGTGAATGCGTCGAGGTGACGTGAAGCTTGCCAGTGTGTTGCTGAAATCTGCGCACGAGACAAAGCGAGCGTCAGTGCAATGTCTCTATTCAGTGTTGTCTCGGATCCAGGTGTGGGTTTCTTTCCCCTCTCGCTCTCGAATGCGCGAATTGAACCATAATGGTTTATTAGGCCTCGTGATCATGATGGGTTTCTTTTGTCCTTGGAGAGGGGCTTGGTTAGTCTGGTTGTGTGCAATGTGGGTTGTGAGTGAATTCTGGGTTTAAAGAATCCTTTTGATAATACCCCATTCGAGAGGGAAAAAGAAGCAAGGATTTCTCTTGCATGGCGGAGTCATCTGACTCGTTTGTGTGAGTTTTGCTGTGAAAGCTTGACTCGTGTACTTTCTCTGCTGTCGTCTTCTTGTAGATTGTGCGGTGATTGTCGTACCGTATCCCGATGAAGTCGGGCTCTTAGTTGGACTTGAATATGGCTGCATGTAGTAAACTCGTGAGATTCTGACGTATGCAGGGGCATTCATGGAGCTGTATCAACCATTGAAAGTTGATGGTGTTGAGGTACATTCCTTCTGGATTTAGGTTGATCGTTCGTTTGTTTTGTGATCTTTGAATGTATCTAATTGGGACGGGATACGTGGGAGTGTGTACAGTTAGTTGTGTTGATGAGCGTGGTGTTGGGCTATCTTGGTATACTAGCGCTCTTGGGCGCTGTCTTGCCGGGGCAAACGATCGCTGGCACACTCTTAGCGGACAAAACGAGGGTCTATTATAAATGCAATGGTGATGGTTTTCTCTTGATATCGACAAATTGTAGTTGTTTGCTATGACGTAGAGGATATTCCCCTTTCATTTGTATGAAGTGTCATGTGTTTTGCAAATTGGCTAAAGGCTGCAATTTGATCTGGAACTTGATGACAATCTCCACAAGGGTGTGAGAAAATGTACCTGATATGGCTTTTCTGATCACGGATTCAGGGTTGGCTTCGTTGGTGGTGATGCTTGCTGGACTTGGTATCGCAATCAAATTTGATTACATTTCACCTACCGTAATTCTCTATCCATCACTTGAATCATAGCGGTACTTTGTTTGCGAATACAGTGCACTTGATCGCGTGCTCTTCATTTTATAGGTTAGAATCCACAGTTTTCGGGATTGAGATGTCATAGCTTGTACATCTGATCATCATTACATTAAGTTGGCGTGTCCTTGTTTAGAGCACATACAGCATTATCTAACAATTTTTACATGCCCATAAAAGATTATTGCAGATAGAGGGGGGAAAATGTGCACTGCCACGTTTGTGCTTTGTTTGATGGTGAGCAAAGTCCATTGAGGGACTAAGGTTTTCGAATTTGTTATTGGTGCTGTCATTTGGTAACTGATGTGTTGTTTGAGCATAGTTAACAGTTGTGAGCAATGCTAGTATCTAGTCCTTGAGTATCAAATTGAAGTTGAAAGGGAACTGTTTGTCTTCTTCCAGGATAATTGATGTTTTGCTGTCACTTTTTTTTATTTGAAATAGATGTCTGTGTGGCTGACCTTGAGGGGATATTTCACCAAAGAAAACTCAGAATCTCTTAAATCCCACGCGACTGGCAATATAATTGAGGACTGGTATACTTTCTTGAACTTCGTTACGTTTTTATCTCATTTCGGTCTTTGTGTATGATGCATAGTGGCTAGATCTATCCATGCACGTTTTAACGCCTGGTTTTCGTTGTGGAATATATCTTAGAGCCATTTTCTTTGTGGCATCCTGAATCTACTCGAGAGTGTATGTTTTGACCATTAATGTTTATTTCTTTTATATTGATCACTCTACTGTACTGCGTATAGGTGGCTTGGAGTGCAATTGAACCCAAACTTTCTGGGCCTTGACCTCAAGTAAGTTTTAAATCTACGCTAGTTGAATCATTATCTCGAAATCAGAAAATGTATCACGTCATGATCTCATTAAGGTATTTTAGGGCTGATTTGTTCAACTCTTGATATTTTCCGTTGGTTCACACAGGTTTTTCTGGATTCGAGCTGGTATGATGGGTTGGCTGCTGATTGATTTTTCAGTGGCTGCTAAGCAGTACATAGAACAAGGCTCACTGTCTCCATCAATGGCACTCTTTCAATTATTCTGCACGGTATGGTTGTGTTGTCCTTACATTTTTTTGACGCATTATGCTGATTCGTCCACTGCTTCTAACCTGTAAAGTAACCATTCTTGCACTTCTGCGCCTACCAGTTATACATTTTTGATTATTTCTGGCATGAGGAGTACATGACATCAACGTGAGTATTTCAACCTTGGACTTGTAGCTTGTGCATGACGGTTCATTTTAATTTGTCGATCCTAAGTCAAAGTTCTTAGGGTATGGCATGCTGCATCATTGTATTTATGCGCAAAATCTGTGCCATCCTTGGTTCAGGTACTGAGTGAGGACACCAGATGTTTCTGACATCAGTATATCTTTAGAGTTGCTTAAAAAACGGACGGAATTGGCCCCTGTGTCTAGCACTCTGATCAGTACCGAGTTCGATGTAATGTAATGCGTAGGTGGGACATCATAGCTGAAAATTTCGGATTTATGCTCATCTTTGGAGACTTAGTCTTCATTCCTTTCACATTCAGTATCCAGGTACGACTGAATTTATCTTTCATGTGATAGCGTATGTTCGTTTCAAGCAAAAATGCTGAAAGCGCTACAATATTATGTCTTAGGAACTGTAGCTATAGTCCGATCATTATAGTGAAGATTGCACTTTCTTCTCCTACTGTCGTCGACATGTTTCTAACCGTGGTTTGTTTAGCACATGTCAACAAAGTAGGCCTGGTGGTTGTTATCGCACTCCGTGGATATTACTCCGACAGCTGCAGCAATGAACGTCCTGGTCTTCCTTATTGGGTGTGTTTTCTCTCTTGCTTTCTATTGCAACTCTTCTATGTCTAGGTCTAGTCCATTTAATTTTCCTGTTGGTCCGAAGAGGTGCTTCTGATAAAAGGGTTAAATCCAGGAAGTTTTGACGTGCCATTCTCATTGACTTTTGGATATTGGACTTTTAATTGTTTGGGGGCAGATTTGCAGTGTTCAGGAGTGCAAACACGCAGAAACACAAGTTCAAACAAGACCCAAAGGTTAAAATATGGGGCAAACCTGCCAAAGCTATTGGAGGGCGACTGCTCGTCTCTGGTTGTTGGTGAGCAGCTTGTATTCGGATACTAACATGCATTTACAGTTCAACACGTTGCAAGTTCTTAAGGTTGATGAAGCTAGAAAGCACCAGTACTGAGCTAATCTTAAGAATTTTATGGAGAACCACAATTCTAGAATATGTTCATTACTCAGGCTCTGCTTCTACAGGGGAATCTCGAGACATTGCAACTATCTTGGAGACATCTTGGTGGCTTTCTCCTTCAGTTTGCCGTGTGGCATAAGGTGCGTGATCTTTGACGTTGTTTTTCTTGCAGTAGTATCTGCAAAATATACATTCTTATAGTTTAGAATTTACTGCAAATTGTTTGGGTCTACTAAAATATTTGCATTTATTGTATCAATTTGAGGTACAGCACCCGTCTCGTCACGGTCAAACTAAAACACAGGAAGTAATATTACTTAATCCTAGGAACTGGAAGAAGAAAGGGGAAACCATGCACTGTGCGAAAGAAATCTATTTTTTTCCGTATGTTCTTGCAGTGATTTTTCACGTCCTTGCAGCTCGCCAGTGCCGTATTTCTATCCAACATATCTGTTCATCCTTCTACTGTGGAGGGAGCGAAGAGATGAAGCGAGGTGTTCGACCAAGTATAAGGAGCTTTGGAAGGAGTATTGCAAAGCTGTTCCATGGAGAATTTTTCCATACATATATTAGGCAATCATCATCGGTTCTACTCTTCTCTCGTTACAATCTTTATCAGGTTTAGTCAACATGATAGAATATATCTACCACTTCAAACTCAGAGTTATCTATTGAAATGGAGAAAACATATCGTGTGCGAAACTGGTACATCCTGCGAAAACTCCAAACAATTATAGCTTCTTCAACAGTAGAAAGAATCTTACAAATGACTATCCAATATTGATAACCCTTTCAAAACATTTTGTAGACGAAACTGGTGGTGCAACTCAACCAAATGTAGGCAGTGAGTTTTCAAAAATGTGAATTGAGGTTGTGTTTGTTTCAATTCATTAATTTGTCCCACACTTCACATTTGGAGAGGTACATCCTGCGAGGATGAAAGAAGTTGAGATAAGTGATTTACTCCAAAAATAGACAGTTTAGTTCGAACGAGGTGTGAAGGTTTGTTGTGGTGCTGAATGAGTATCATTACATAAATTTGCTGTACAGTGTCTTTATTTATATCACTTCTCGGGTGAAACACTGAAGAAGACTACTGCAATCTCCATGCAATACATCGCACTCAGTTGGTCAGTTTTTCTAGAGGGAATTCCATGAGGTCGTTATTTGATTCTAGTTTCATCACCGACTCGGACAATGTCAGTAGGATTTTTATCACCTGATCGATAATTCCTACAGAAATAATTTCTTTACTAAGTCTCTAATCCGGCATCTATGATCTCAGTAACCAGATGTCGGAGAACTTTGCGGGGAGATGTCTGTTCTCAGAGCCCAAACATCACAGTGAAGTGCAGGTGATAGCATGACGTTGCACACAGCATTGATGTTTTGATTGCACACGAAATGCCGACGAACTCGGGAGGAGCCGTGGAGAAAGTAGCTGACGGTGACGATTGATGATTTTCTTCCCAGCCTAGAGGTTGAAACATATCTTAAGTGGACATGATTATCCTTACTGAATCAAAATTGTGCATGATCAAAACTTAATCCATCTTGAACGCCCCATTTCGTTGTAGAAGTGTCGTGACAATAATACCATGAACCCTCTCAAATTAAGTTCTTGCCCAAGATACAATCACGACAAAAGTTCATAATTGAATAGTGGAGAGAAATGCTACAAGTGCCACAAGCAGTAGTTGAGGGTGGAGAAAATGGCTTAGTTTGTAACGTGATATTGAGGGTGTAGTGCTATTGGTGAACCAATGTATCTCCTCCAATCCACTGAAGGGCCTAAATTCAAGCAGTTTTGTCCTCTTCAACTAGTTAGTAGTTAGTAGTTAGTAGACAGTCCGATCTACTTAATAAGCTCGGAGGAAATTTAAGTGATGCATTGAGCATTGTCAAACATGCTCGAGGTACTTACATAAAATGAATTAAAGCACAAGTGGATCTATTGTGAGAAAAGTTTCAGACCTCAGAATAATCTAAACTCTTCACTGCTACATCAGATTCTTCAGCAATTCTTTCAATAGACTCGGAGGGCCGAGTAGTTGGCCATTTCTTCATGAAAAATCGTTGTTTACGAAGTACCCAAGTCATTGCAAAATGTAACTTTTGTCCTGATTGACATCAGTCAGCAGAAGCTTTGACAGCAAGGTGGGAAATACATTACCTTTTCACTCTAAAGCATCGATTTAGATATTTTTCTTCTACAGAGCACACAAACTAATAAAATCCTTTGAAATCAACATGTTCAATGTATATATATATGTGTGTGTGTGTGTGTGTGTGTGAAGGAAAATTGATATGTTCTTTATTTTTAACTTCATCATCATTATTCTGTTTCATACTTCTGCAAGTCCCCAGAAAGAGTCACCGCCGTGACTCAACCACCAAAGGATTTTTAATAAAAAAATAATAAAAAATAAACATAATAAACAGATTATTTTTCTTCACTTATTTATTTATTTTCTGAAGAATAAGATCAAGGCACATGCCACAGTCAATGAGCGGTTTTAGAAGGTACTTCTATATCCGAGATTCCACGAGGAAATGGCCCTCATGCCCGTGCCGTGTGTAGTCTTGTCCACACGGAGGGAGGGGTTTATGAAACCCTAAACCCCTACAGGCAGTCGCTTTTGCTCTCCTCGAAGCCTCGCGTCGTGGCGACACTGCCTCATTCTCATCAAATTCTCCATTACGCATCCGCTTCGACTTGTGATTGTTTTGGGGAATTGTTCGTGCGAGACGGTGCATTGCGTTTTCCCAGAGTTATTGCGACAATGAGGCCTCCATTAACGAGAGGAGGAGGAGGAGGAGGCAGGGGCGGCTTCCGTGGAGGACGGGGAGGAGGGAGAGGCGATGGGGGAGGTCGCGGGGGCGGGCGGGGTTTCGGAGGAGGCCGTGGAGGGAGAGGAGGCGACAGAGGCGGGCGAGGAATGCGGGGCGGTGGTAGAGGAGGAGGAAGAGGTGGTGGTGGCATGAAGGGAGGAGCCAAGGTCATTATCGAGCCGCACAGACACGAGGGAGTGTTTGTTGCCAAGGCCAAGGAAGACGCGCTCGTGACGAAGAATCTGGTTCCTGGCGAGAGTGTGTATGGAGAAAAACGCATTTCGGTCGATAACGAGGACGGAACCAAGACGGAATATCGAGTGTGGAACCCCTTCCGGTCCAAGCTCGCGGCTGCTATTTTGGGAGGTGTGGACAACATCTGGATCAAGCCTGGTGCTCATGTCTTGTACCTCGGAGCTGCTTCGGGAACAACGGTTTCTCACGTTTCTGACGTAGTGGGACCTTCGGGCATAGTGTACGCGGTTGAATTCTCACACCGCAGTGGGCGAGACCTCGTGAACATGGCTAAGAAGCGAACTAATGTCATTCCTATTATTGAAGATGCTAGGCACCCGATGAAGTACCGTATGTTGGTCGGTATGGTAGATGTGATCTTTGCCGATGTTGCGCAGCCTGATCAAGCTCGAATTGTAGCAATCAATGCGCACAACTTTTTGAAGAACGGTGGTCACTTCGTCATCTCTATTAAGGCGAATTGTATCGACTCAACAGTGCCTGCCGAGGCTGTTTTCGCTTCGGAAGTGAAGAAGTTGCAGAAGGAGCAGTTCAAGCCTGCTGAGCAAGTTACTCTTGAGCCTTTTGAAAGGGACCATGCTTGTGTAGTTGGTACTTATCGTGCACCTAAGAAGGCTAAGCCAGCTTCCGGTGCATAGGTATGGCGTTACTCTTAGTTAGGTTTTAGTTTATACATGGTTATTCTCTTTGGAATAGAACCGATTTTCACCCAGAGAGCGCATGTCCTGTTACAGCTTCTGTCAAGACATCGTTTATAATTTTAGTCTCATTGGTGGTCATTGGTGCATACTCTCGTGGATTCTATTCCTATTTTTTTAAACTGGCGGCATAGTTAACACAGTTTCTTGAGCAGCATCACCACCACGATGAGATTGATCGTGCATGAGGATCACCCTTGCCAGATTGATGGTGTTGATGGTTAGTTGTGTTGTGGAGACATACGAGTACTGGAACGTTGTGCAACCTTCTGAGGAAACGGCTGTGGTTTGTTTTCTAGTCAAATGACATGCATTAATTTTTTTATTTTTTAATTAATTTTTTGTATCAAAGTTTTTAATTTTAATGACCTGTTCTCACGGTTGCAAGCAAATTTTTATAACGAACACTTAATGTGTCACCTCGTATCACAATCTAAGCAACCCACATAGGACAAATGGATATATGGTAGAAAGAACTGAGCCAGCTGAATCGCTGCGAAACGTATGTCGATTGCATACTACACAGCAAGTCCACTGAACAGCGAAGACTTCGCCATATTTCCAGTTGCAAGCAACCCATTGTTTTATGAATTTGTTTTTGTTATAGATCCCTGCTGCACATGAGGACCATACCACTTCTACTAACGTAAGCTGCAGTATTGATAAAATCTTGTACTGATTTTTGGAATGTTGAAAATAATCTGTGCACTTAAATGTAGAGATACGTAGTGTTCTATGGTGATCAGAATGGACTTCAAGAGTTACGGAATAGCTTGAGATTCTAACTGTGTTCAAGAGGCTCATTCTAAATACAATAATCATGTTATCTATTCGTGTGCTGAACTGATTTAAAATTTCCACTCTTTTATTTCTTTTTATTTCTTTATCGAGGTTACAATTCTATTTGACTTTTATCATTTTGCATCATTGAATAAAATATGATGGATCATCGTTTTGCATCGCTTCACTTCCATGATCAATATTATCCTATGATACATTGGACATCAACTTCTTGTACAGAACCTCCTATAAACAAGTACATGGGATCATTCTCTTATTTCGGTTCCAGTTTCATAAAATTTCTCCATATAGTTGAATCACCGTAAGAAAACTGTCCACAAGTATACCAAATTAATCAATGTTCACTTAAATTCTATTTACTTTTTATACCACATTCTATTTTTTTTTTATTCCTACCAAATAATAATGCAAAAAAACATTGCATTTTCACTCAAGTTTGAACTAGTTTTGGTAAACGACTTTTTATCATCCATTCAAGAATTTAATTATATATATCTATATATATATATATATATATATATATATATGTAACTTCTTTTAAAAATTTAATCCAATTGACCTCATATTATTATACAATGCCAAAGTATATTTATGTGAAGTAGTAATTTATAATTTTATTAAATTTATATCCAAATTTATATTTAATAATAATTTAACAATAGTCATAAATGTCTTAGAATATTTTTGGCCGTAAATACCTAGCCTTTATGATATTTTTAGTTATTATCTTTTTTAAAAGTGACTCTACATGCTCTATTGTGGCATGTTGTCAAGATTGGTTGAACCTTGTTATATACTATATACTGTTTGATTAAACATTTAATATTATTTCTTAACAATAATGGTTAAGTACCTACTATTAATCCTTATCTTACATTGTTTGTTCAAGATCAGTTCCTCTAAGAAATTTTGGGAGATATAAAACCTATTAATGTGGTTGTACTAAGTAAGATGTGTTTATATAATAAATAAGTTTTTGTACATTAAATATTTATTTTTAGAAGTACCACTTGCTATTTTTATTAATTTAAAAAGATAATTAACTTTCTAATTTTCTTTTCATGGTTTATATTCTATTTTATGATAAAACTCCTTTAACAATAAAACTCAACTAACTATCATCTTACTTAGTTTGGCCTTTTTTACTAAATATAACATTATCATATAGTTTGTATAAAAAATGACTGGATGTAACAAGTTAGATTTTTTCCACTAAAAATATTATAGTCAAATATTTTCTTTTGGTGGTAGATAATTCTTTCTATTATACTAATTTGCCTAATAGTAAATATAATTTGGTAGTTATTATTTTCTTTGCATAAAAGTTGATTTAATGAGCTTTTAACAGCTATCACTAAGGTATTACAATAGAATAGAATAATATGTTACAATTTGGTAGTTACAACATATGATATGTGTTTAATTTTTCTTTTAACTAGTCGTAGGATCCTTGAGATTCTAAAGTCTATTCAAATTGAAACAATTTTTGTTTGAGTGTGACCATAGATTGTTTCAATTTGAATAGACTTTAGAAGTTTTTATATCCAAATTTGTCTTTTTGGAATTAAGTACTATCTTTGTCTTTTTGTATTAATCAAAAGTTTGTCTTATATAAGCTAAATAGTCATCAATATTAAATTAGATGCTAAAGTCATTAATAAAGACAATTATAGATTTATATGATAAATTTGAGAAAGAAAAGATCATTGTTCATAGAAAGGTAGAAAGTGCATCTCATAGTCTAAAAGGCATCACCAAAAAGATGAAGGTATTCTAAGGCATGACAAACATGGTTCTATACCAATCTTTAAGAGCTATCATTATTTAATTGTAGCCTAAGTAACCATTTATAAAAGTTTATAACTTGTATCCTACAACTTTGTCTAAAAGGATGTTGAAAAAAGATAGAGAGAAGTAATCTTTTTTAGTATTTTAATTAAATTTTCATAATCAATGCATATTCTTAATTTTCTATTTTTTTTCTTTTTAACTAGTACTATAGAAGATATCCAATCAATTATTTTTACAAGTGAAATACAATCAGCTTGTGGGAAAAAAATTAAACTTAATTTTGATAATGAATTATTATTGAGGGTTTATACTATAACAAATAGCCATATTCATTAGTATACTTGCTTAGATAAATAGAACTATGTAGAAATAAATAAATTTAGGTTAAATTATTAATATCTTCTTAGAATTTTTTTAAGAAGCTTTGTAGACTTTACATGTATTTGTGAGTAATTGGTAGGTTGACAACTTAGCCAGTAAGTTGGCTCTATGTCATACATTTAGCCACTTGTATTACAAATTGGCCATGTCGTGCACATTTTGAAAACTCACACTACAAATTAGTCATGTGTTACATGATCTATAAGACATTGCCATATTGTTCTTTAATACTTAGTATAAATGGAGGCAAACGTAAAGTCTCCATTATTCTTGTAAATATCTTTATTGTGATCTATCTTGGTTCAAGACTTTCTAGTCTTTTTGCATTTAGAAATAGCCATTTTAGTCTAAATTTTTTTTCTATATATATATAATATAAGATTGCATTATTATTTTTAAATTTTTTTTATAATTTATATCTTAGATACTTTGATAAGAGTCCTAAATTTTTATACTTTTTTATTTTGGAAGTAAATAGATTATATTATTTTCTTGTTGTATGTTAAAGGTTGCGGACTATCCACTTTTATACTAATATTTTTTAAGAAAAATAAGAAAGTGTATAAAAAGCTTCTAAAACAAGTCATGTCTCTTTATATATAAAATAATGTCTTAATATACCATCAATTTTCCAACAATACAATTTCTTGGCTATAAGAGCAAAATAGATGTTATTCACTATAATCTTCTTTTGTTTGTTTTTTCATAAGGCATTGAGTAGTTGTTGAATACTCAAAAATTTGGCAATATATTAGTACCATATAAGTGCCACTATGATATCAAAAAAATGGCCAAAAATAGTTTATTGTTTATATCTTAGGTACCTATGGTTATAGATAATTGTGAAAGTTAATTGACTTCTTTGTATTATTTTCTTGATTTGTATTACATTATATAATCAAAATATATAGAAAGTAACATCTATCTTGCTAATCTATTTTTTAAATCTAATTTTCTTAAAATATAATTAAAGAGTATGTGAACTACAAAATAATAATAATAATAATAATAATAATAATAAATGAATTTTTTTATTAAAATATAACAAAAAAATATTTTAATACTAAAGACCATGAATAAACATTTCAATTCTGTATTTGTTTAATTGCATTCAAGAATTTTCAATTCTTTACTAAAAAAGACAATATGATAGATCACACCCTTATCATTTGGTTGACATAAGATATTATCTATTGCCAAATTAAATTCATTATAATGGGCATAAAAAGGATAATTCTAATTAGACAATAATACACAAGAAAAGGATAGCAATTTGTCTTTAATTACATCAAAATCAACTTGATATTCAAATTTCCATTCAGATTTTGTGGTCTTTTTTAATAATTTAATTGATTGTAAAGTATAAATAAAATATAAATCAACAAAGTTGCAATACTACTCTCTGTCTCAAATCTTTTTTAATTTTTTTTATTTCATTTGAGGGTAGTAGGTTTATACTAACCTTTGTTTTTTTAGGATCATATTTTTATCCCTATTTTGAACTAATATATCCTAATAAAACTTTCTTCTTAATTAGTAAGTAAATTTTTCTAAATTAAGATAATTTCTTAATTTCTAAAAATTTAGAAATATAATTGAAGGTTTTTAAGGTGATCATTCTTTAATAATTGACAACTAAAGTTACTAATAAAAACATATATGGATTTTTAAAGAAGGTATGAGAATACATAAGTCATGACCCATTAAAAAGCTAAAGGATCATTATATAATCCAAAAGGAATTTTTACATATATAGAATTTTTCTAAGGTGACATAAATGCAAACTTGTGCCAATTATACAGAATTATTGATACTTAATTATAATCAAAGTATCCATCTATAAAATTGTATAAGTCATGACCTACCACATTATCTACTATAGAAGTAATCAAAGATAATAAGAAATGGTCCTTTTGAGTGTACTTATTTAAATCTTAATAATCCACACATACCTTAAGTTTATTTCCTCTCTTTTTCTTTATCATGACAATATGAGACAACCAAACCATGATTTCCATAGGATTTATAAACTCCCCTTGAAGTAGCATTTTTAATTTTGCTTTTGCAATGAATTGCATCCTAGAATTAAATCTATTATATTTTTTTCTAATAAGCAAGGTGTTTGGAAGAAGTGAAATAGTGTATTAAAATTTTTTAAAAGAATAGCTCTTGAATTTTTATAAGATCATCCAAAAAATTTGCAATACTCTATTACCAATAAATTTTACTTCTCCAAATAATATACTACCATATTTAGACATCTTATTATTATAATAAAAATCAATATCCTTGAAATGAAACATCTAATCAAGCAAACTTAAAATCGTATTAGGATTCTAAAACTAGAAGCAATAATGTTCTAAATTTTTATTTTTATTTATTTTTTTGTAGTAATTTTTTATTTCAAATTTTTATGATTTCTACCTAATGTAAGAAAATATTATTAATTTTTATAGAGAAGCTTCAGATAAAGAAACAACTAGATTTTTCAAGTCTTATTTAATGTTATTTTATTTAATTTTAGTAATTCATGTTTGATAATTTAAATGCTTTCAAGTCTATAATGGTTAGAATAATTTATTATTTTAGATAATTCACCTTAATATTCTATAAAGAATTAGATGGATGCAAGTAGTAGGCATAAGTAGGAAACAACTTAGTTTTTATTTAAGTATGTTGTCAATTTTTTTGGTTTTTTTTATTGATTTTTAATATGTAGTATGCTGGAAAACAAGATATGGAGTGTATTTTAGTCACTACATTTAAACAAAGACATTGATATAAATCATATATATATATATATATACATATTTTTTGTTTAAGATTTAGAATTAAGATTAACAAAGATGTCACAAGTTTCAAGTTTAGAGTTTAAAACTTTAATGTTAAGGTTTTAGAATCATGTACATATGTCCAATCTTACACTCCTTTATTTTTTTAATTTTAAATATATATATATATATATATATATATATATATATATATAAAATTCAAAGAAAAAAAAATATGTTCTATAAGTTTAGACATATAAATATATACAATTTAACTTTATACTTTTTAACTTAATTTTGTAATAAGGATTTCTTTCTTTTATAAGTTTTGGATTCTTAATTTACAATTGTATTATCAAATTGTTTTAGGATTTTTTAGATTGGTAGATATTAGAAATTTAATCAAATGATTTTTGAGTTAATATTATAATTATATAGTGTTTTAAGTTTTAATTTGATACACATCTTTATTTTTAGAATTTACTAATTTAATAGTATATTTATAATATTTTATAAGTTTTTGATTTTTAAATATTTATGCTTTTACTTGTTGAATTTTTAATTGATTTTTTTATTTACAATGATTTTTTATATCAATAAATTCTATTAATTTAAATATTAATAATTATAACAATATAGTTATAATCCTAAATATTTTTATAGCTTAAAAAATATGAGATGTTTAAAATAATAAAATAAATTATTTTCTACTATTAGGTATATAAATTAAAACTAATAATTCTTTTAAAATTGTCATAACTTTTACATAAAATATTTATTTCACATTAGAATCTATTAGAAGTAGGATTTAGGTTTAAAAATACAATAATATTTTAAAAGAATTTGACATTTTTGACTTTTAGTCTTAAATTGACCTAACTTTTATTTTTTTAATGTTTGCATTTCTAATGGTTTAGTTACTTGATTAAATATGTTTTTATTATAATAGTTATTAGGTTTATAAAGTATAGATTAACCTTTTTAGATTAATATTTCCATAAAGATAATTTTCTTGATTTTGGACTTGATTACACTATACATACAAGACAATTAAATTAAAGTGATTTCATATTACATATTGAATATTTAATTTGGAATAGTATATGTTTATATTATATAGAAATTAGCTTATTCAAAGATCTATTTGTTTACATAAGATTTAATCTTTATGGTATAATAATACAAATGTATGCTAAAAGGTTTTGATGGGATTTTCTTTACTTTTGAGTTGACTTGCCTTACTATTTCAATGCTTGCAATTCCAACAGTATAATTAGGAACTTAAATTACATAGATATTTCAAAAAAAAATTCATTTTTAATTTTTATTTTAAACTAGAGCTACATTTTTATTATTATAATTTAGAGTTTTAGTGATCCAAGTAGGTAGGTAGAATTGTCCAAGACATAACATGATTTAAAAATTGACAAGATTTGTAAAATCAAAAGACTAATGAGAACTTAAATAAGTTAGAATATAAGGTGGTGTTTTTTATTATTATTAAAAGAAAATTTTACCAAATTTAAAAGATCTAGCTTATTTTTTATTATTAATCTAGAAAAATATGTAATTATAATATTTATATTTATATAGATATTTTATTAGATTTAAAATATCTAAATTCTAAAAGAAACGTAAAGTTTAATTAAGATATATATATACATATATATATACATATATATATATATATATATATATATATAGAACAACCAAATTTACATGAGACTTATGAACTTCATGATAAAAGGCAATATATGAAGGATCACAAGAATTCTTTTCTAATGACATAAGAATGTAGTGACACAAGAGTGTATTGACTCTTTGGTTGTTTGTGATTTATGTCCTTGATATATGTCTCCAAAACCTCAAGTAATTACATGTAATATTGTGGACAAGAATATTTGTAATCAACTCAAGAAAAATTAAATATAAAATCAAGGTTAGTTTTTTAATTACATAAAATGTCCCAAATATTTATTTATATGTATTTGTAGTCTTCTTAGCCTTAATACATTATATTTCGTTTATTGTAATCACTTGAAAATTGTGATTTGTATAATTTTCAATTTATCAACATAGTTATAAATGTTCATTTCAAATACTACTCTTAAATTGTAAGAAAGATGAAGGATAAACATGAGAGTACTTTTTTGGTTGAAAGTACAAAATGTAAATATTAGTATATGTCAAATCATGATTTTGATATTATTATGTTAGATGTTATTGGTTACCTTCACACATTGATTTCATGTTCTATGATTTATCAACTTTTGCCATATCTATGCATTAATATTCCTTAGTCTTTTTAATTGACAGGTAGCAATGAACCTTTATCAAATTTAATACTATACTACTGCATTGAAGTTAGGGTATGTCTCTGTTGTCATTTAGAAATTATTGAGACTATTGTCTTCCAATAACAGATTAATTTTTGCAATGTAATGGCGATTTCTTCTTGTATTCTAGTATATAATTCTGCTCCTGAACAAGATCATTATGGTCTTTCCTGGTTGATATTCTTCTACATTTAAACAGGCCAGAGAACAAACACATTTCCAACCGTAGTTCTATTTTGAAACAGTAATTTGCAGAATTCTGACCTTTGTACGTAAATTCCTCGACCCCATCAGCATCCTACGGAAGTGGCATTTTCTCCTGTTAATTCTGGGTTCGAATATCAGCTATAGGTACAGTCAACACACGATTAATTAGCGACATCTAAATCAAAGCTTCTTCCTGTTCTCGTGATGAAAACATGTTAAACATGTGATTGGTATTCATTTCATTGGGGTGAACAAAGTCAAGACGATGATTTAACGGTTCCACCGTTTTTTGGTTCAAAACTTCAACTCAAATTATTGTTTTTGCTAGGTGGTAGGAGCCACTAAAAATCGTAAACAGTACCATTGCAAACAACTGATACACGGGCGAGCGTGGACCAAAATCACTGCAGAATTTAGTGAAATTAAAAGCAGTGATGATGAGTGGTGAGTTTTGGTCTGTTGTATACAGTGCAAAACTTATATGGCCACCTCTGCTGCTCTGAAGCCAAACCGCCAAAGACTACAATTTTATAGAGCACTGCTAAGGAAGCTAAAATAAAATTTTGGTAGGGACCAAAGTCAGAAACCTCAAGTTATGTCCTCAGATACATGTATGCTTTCTAATCCAACATCTCTTCTTAACAAAAATGAATAGCGGCTCTATGAGGACCCAGTGAGCCAATTCTTCCCCTCTCAAAGTGACTTCATCACTTCCTTAGCGGCAGCAATGGTGAAGTCGATGTCCTCGTCTGTGTGAGCTAGGCTTGTGAAGCCAGCCTCAAATTGTGAAGGTGCAAGATAAACGCCTCTTTCAAGCATGCCCCTGCTCGTGCACAGAAAAAGCCACAACTTTTCATCAGCATTCGTGAATCAGATACATTTCTACAAATCCAGAAAACATCTCCCTACCGTGTGCACATGCTACTGACTCTGTCACTGATTACAATCAAAATTCACCAAATACCTGTGAAAGGCGGCGAACTTGGCAGTGTCACTCTTCTTGGCATCTTCAAAGTTGTTTACAGGACCGGCACAGAAGAAGAATCCGAACATTCCACTGATGTGCCCACCGCAAACCTCATGCCCAGCCTCTCGCCCAGCGTCGAGGATTCCCTGAATGAGCTTCCCGGTAACCCTGTCCAATTGCTCGTACGAGCCAGACTGTTGCAGCCTGCGGAGAGTGTGGATTCCAGCCGTCATTGCGAGCGGGTTGCCACTTAGGGTACCGGCCTGATACATTGGTCCGGCGGGAGCAACCATCTCCATGATCTCCCTCTTTCCTCCATAGGCACCCACAGGGAGTCCTCCACCAATGATCTTCCCCAGGGTAGTGATATCAGGCGTGATTCCGAAGTACTCTTGGGCACCTCCATATGAGATGCGGAACCCAGTCATGACCTCGTCGAAGACAAGACAGGCTCCATCTTCACTGGTGAGGTCCCGGAGCCCTTGCAGGAACTCCTTCTTGGGGATAATGAAACCAGCATTTCCCACGACGGGCTCTAACACCACGGCAGCAATTTCTCCTTTGTACTTGGCAAAGATCTCCTTCACTGCCTCGAGGTCGTTGTAAGCTGCTGTCAGTGTAGATGCTGTGGAAGAGGAGGGAACACCAGGAGAGTCTGGGAGACCCAAAGTGGCGACACCACTGCCGGCTTTTACCAGAAAAGAATCCGCATGTCCGTGGTAACATCCCTCGAACTTAAGAACCTTCTCGCGTCCAGTGTATGCACGAGCAAGACGGAGCATGCCCATGCAAGCCTCGGTTCCAGAGTTCACGAACCGCACCATCTCGACGCTGGGAACTGCGTCAATCACCATTTGTGCTAACACATTCTCCAAAACGCATGGAGCACCGAAACTGGTACCCTTCTGGAGCGTTTTGACGAGCTCCTCATTCACCTGGTATGTGTCCAGAAAGAAGTCAGAATGCGACCCAAAATCACATGCGGTATTAAAACAACGTCGGAGTCGCTACTTCTACAGAGACGGTTAGTCTTGTACCTGATCGTCGCAAGCACCAATGATAGCGGGACCCCATGAGCCGACGTAATCGACGTATTCATTGCCGTCGATATCCCAGGCCTTGGAACCTTTCACTCGGTCAAAGACAATTGGTTGCCCTCCAACCGATTTGAATGCTCTCACAGGAGAGTTAACACCTCCGGGCATCAGCTCCTGTCCGTCCAACACAAAAGCAATGTAAGGGATTCTTTGATTGCGGCAAAGAATGTGGATAACTTACGAAACGCACAGACTCCGACCAAGAGTCACTAAAATTTCAATCCTAGAAGATGCGGTAACAAGGAGTAATCTACCAATAAGAAATGGCTTCTAGGCAAGAATCCGGCCACTGGCAACAGCAACAAGATTTCGCAGCAGTCGTGAACCCTGTTCAAGGACTAAATGAACAATTCTAAAATGCAGAACATCGGAGATAGTCAACCACATGGTGCCATTGGCAAGAAAATTCACGTGGGCTTGTATACAGAAATACCGACTGGGGTATTCGAGGACTTACCTTGGCAGCGTTGAATGTCTCTTCAGACTTTTGTGTCGTAAATTGCTTCTTCTCTACGGAGAGTGTCATTTGCACCACATGACCCTTCCTCGAGAAAGCAATGTGGCTATCACCTCGGGCAACTGGGGTGGCCTTAAGTTGGTCGGCAGGTCTCAATCCTGACCACTCACGGGCACGGACAGCGGAGCCCGTCATTACACCCTGTGCTGCCATGGCTCAACGCCCTGCTCTTCGCCGCTCACTCAAACGAGCTGCACAGATTTTAAAAAAAACGCAAGTCTTAGACAACCCACTATAAAATTTGCAGGCATTATCCACCAAAGAAGTTCCAACACAAAAACGCTTCCAAAATTAAGAGCGCTTCATAATCCTCCTGCGAGAAAACGGAGTGCAATCCAAGCACCATCCTTAGCTCCTCTGCTCGTAAACTACCATAAACCATAAAACCCCTTCCGAGGACTAAAACTCTAACCCCCCTTTACAAATGCTCTTCACACCACCAAGTTCAGCCGCAAAACCTCACCTTGGACCACGATGGGTGAACGAGACTGCTTGGAATGCGGAGACGAATGCAGGAAGCCTGCACCCACAGAACCAGCAACGACGGAATTCGGGTGAGCGAGGAATAAGAGCTAGGGTGATGGTGAAGCGGAGGGTGAAGGGGGCGAAAACAAGGGGTCCTCGCCTAGAATACCAAGGTGTTCAAGAGCCCTCCGATGGGGCGCCTGGTGGAACGGACGGCTGTGAGGAGAGGGGCATCTTATCTGATGCAATCCTGAGTTGATCCACAGAAGTCACTTGGGCACCGAAAATCTCTGCGGTGAGGGATGGACTCCTTGCTGACACCTCTCCCTCCTCTCCCACTTCACGTGTTGCCCTTTTTGAAGGGTGTTCTGATATTCCTACGTAGGGTTTTGAATGTCTTTGTAAGCACACATTTTGATGTCTTCTCTAATAGGTATTCACTAATAAGAACCCACTCCCAAATTAGGACCTTTGGAGTGCAAAGTTTTGGAATTGTTGATTATCCAATTGAAGAGTTTGGGCATGTTTTAAAAAAAAATTCTGCATGGTTTTGATTGTATTTGTAAGCACAAATTTTCATGTCTTCTCTAATAGGTATCCACTAATAAGAATCCACTCCCAAATTAGGTCCTTTTGGGTGTAAGGTTTTGGAATTGATGATTTCCCAATTGAAGAGTTTGGTCATGTTTAAAAACTTTTATGTAGTTGTGTAGTTGATTTGATGATCTATAATGTAAGAGTGATGAAAGAGGCCTAAGAGGAAGTTGTCTAAGGTGGTAGTTGTTCAAGGTGAAGATGGAATTTTTAGAGTAATTTATCTTGAATTGGTGAATTAACCCATGGACTAATACAAAGTTTGCACCACCACTTCATATCAAAATCTAGAGAGTCTCTTGGATCTAGAAAACCATCCTCACTATGTATAAAGGTATTTGAGATATATATTATTTGTGTCAAATGTAGAAACATTTATTAGTTAGAGGGTTATATTCCTTATCCATTACTTGCCCAATACCCACAAGTTCAAGGGTAGCAAACAAGCAACATATAGAACTCTTTGTGTTCGACTCAAATTTGAAAATGATAGCATGTTGGGTGGTATTCATCCACAAGTTGATTCAATGCATTCATTCTTAAAATCCTTGTTTGGAGACCTTTTATAAGATCTTTTCATTATTGAATACAAAAAATAAATACAAAGCAAAACAATTTATACTTAATTTCCAACTAATGAAGGATAATAAAAAAAAATGATATTTCCTATTTATAATGAAAGTGCATTTTTTTTGTGGATATTGTTTATGTGTGTGTGTGTGTATGTATGTATGTATTAAATTTTGATATTTGTATAAACCTCTTTCCATCCCAATATCCATCAAATGAAAAACCCGTCGTAACCAGTGATCTAGTGATACATGTTCTTTACTTTCATCACCGTGTTGTCATGTAGCAGCCGAATTTTAATAAAACCAGATATCACACAGTAAGCAAAAAGATACTTTGCAAAACATTTGAAGTAGAGTACCTATGCATGAGGTTGCAGGAAGCGCAGATCGTTCTCCAAATCATGTCTGGTTGTGGTCCACATCTCCACGTCGATTTATATACAAACTTCGTGTGAAGCAGACCATGATGTTTTAAGACAGAGCCGAAGATTTGATTTGCCACTAAAAAGGCTAAAGCTCAGATCTGTTCGGTTTTTTACAAAGAAAGTGAGTGTTTCTTCTGCAATACTTTTGCTGCTGTTAAGCGTCGAATACCGTCATGGTGCTTGTGACGATCTGCCTGCAGACAGGACAGCGGGGATCGGCTCCTTGCTGGACCCTTCGGGCACAAACGATGCAGCACACGCGGTGGCCGCAATGGATGAACGCGGACCGCCGCCTCCTCAACAAGCACACCACACAAAGCTCCCCTTCAGGAACATCCACCAAGTTCTCCACCTCTTCCTCGTCCATCAGCCTCTGTTGCCTTCTCTCTTCATTCACTCGCTGTTGCTCCTCCAACTGGCGATGCTGCTTCCACCTCAGCCAGTTCCTTGTGACCCACAACACCATTCCTCGTCACAGTGAGGATTGCGGCTTGTTCAAGGATTTGTAATACAAAAAATATACAATGAAATGAGGGTAGCGCATTGTGAATGCTTGACGCTACTGGTTCTGATGATGGGATGTTGACAAAGTCGCACTTTCGAATAAAGAAAAGCACATGTGAACTTGGCGTTTAGGGTTTAGGGTTTAGGGTTTATTGCACATTATAAAACTGACAATACATTTTTGGTATATCATTTTATTTTTTGTTAGGAGGCAACAGTAAGACTTCTGTTTTTCTTCTGTTTAAATAGTAATGATGAGTAACATACTTGATGACAGCGTAGGTCAACACTCCGGCAGAGAAAGTGGTGGCAATAACCCCTAGCCAGAGCAACATCTTTGTCCCCCTTGCCAGCTCCATCAGCAACTGCTCCCGGGTGCACTCTGTCAAGAAGATGGGCAGCCCACTGCAAGGTTTGATCACTGGCTTGCCATCTGGCGTCGAGTCCAGAATGCCAACCGCCGTGATCTCGCGACCCATTTGGAGTATTCTCTCTTCATCTAACAGCCCCACCTACAAGTTCGAAGTTCAGATGAGAAATTGCCCTTGTAACAAAAGAAATCTGTGAAGATTGAGAGGGTTCTAGAAGAAGGCAAAGTATTTATTTTTTGGTGTGCAAGATTCATTTACGATGTTTAGGGGGGAGATTGATCCAAACCGGGTAGCGGCGCCCAAATATGGCCTGGAGTAGTGTGTAAGAAGAAGATGACACAGGGTGGAACTGATGGTGCACTGTCAACAATGGAATGGGGTGCTTTGGCACATCCATGTTCACGTGGATGTAGGCAATGGGCTCTGAGGAGCATTCTTCACTGTTGCTGGCTAGTACGAATGCCACCTGCACTTTACCACCACCTGAAAATTAAGGTTGGATCCTTGGCCACCTCACGGGGACTTCCTCAGCGCTCACCAGACTCGAAGAATCCTTTCACGTGCTACTTGGAGTAAGAAGTTACCAACACCATCTTGTTTTAATAAAATATTTACTAAGGAATTTAACAAATTATGGCGATTGTATACCTTGCGCCTCGCCACAACAAATTGCTCTTTCACGGAACCCCACCCCACGAGTCCCCGCCACTCAGAGCCCCACCCAAACAGGCTTCTTGATCCATTGTATAAACACTGACTCCATCATCAACCATGGCCAAGCCGGAGCGAGCGAGCGAGCGAGAGAGAGAGAGAGAGAGAGAGAGAGAGAGATGGAAGTAAAACAGGGAGAGGAATAGAAAATCAGAAAAACACACTTCACATGAGAGCGATAATTACCCCTCCAACAAATTCAACACTTACCATTTTTTGAGTGAACTTCACGAGGTCTCTTTGTTTGATCCATCCCAACATGCAATTCATCTCAAAGTGCACATACTGAGCATGCCACGACAAAAAAGAAAACCGAGGAGCTTGGATCATGAATAATGAAATTTAATGGACTCCCCTACACTACATGAAAAAGCTGGCATCTCAAAATTCACACATGAGAAAAGACTGGTAACGAGGCAGACGGGAAGGGGAGAAGAGGATCCTTACAGTTTGAATCCTTTCCAGGTACACAGCTTTCGTGTCCGACTGAGAGGGTGTGATTCCCTGGAGGTCTTCGGCATTAAGGACTGCACTGGGCTCGACCGAAGCCTTGGTTTGAATCTTGCCCCTCACCATCACGATTCTCTCTTGTTTGATGAGATCCGCGTCAAGTTTGCGCCACATACGGAATCCAAATCGTGCTGGCTGTTTACTTGCCAGGGCTTCTGTCATTTGAATGGACCTCGGCTGCAGATTTCGAATGTTACAACAAATCGATTCAATCTAGAGGAAACACATGATCGCACCATTGTAGGATTTTTGTGTGACATGTTCAAAGATTTCTGACTGAATGGAAGAAATTTGCAGAAAGAAAATTCTTGCTCAAGCACTACCATCAATGATTGAAACCATGAGACCTCAGTTAGGTAAAGGAAAAAGCAGGAATTAGATTACTGGATGTGATTCCACCATATTCCAAACCAAACCTCTCCCATTCTTTCCTTGCAGTGGTCCAAAACCCAGAAGTGTGACAAATCGTACTTTTGGCTCCTTGTCCCTATTTTACATGTTGTTCGCACAAAGGTCTCTCGAATTCATTTCTGGAGTTAAACTAATAGAGGGGAGGGGATTTTATGAATGTGGTTTCGAATAGGCCATACGTATTGATTGGAGATGACGATTTCAGGGTCAGAGTTGAGCGTTTGGCGTTGAAGCAAGATCCGGAGGTCGGCGATGTGCGACAACGGAGTGTTTTTGATGGCCACGAGGGCTTGTTCGTGGGTGCGATACTTGAGCCATGCTTTCACGGCCAAGCATGCCATGCCCAACCCTAGCACCACTCCGTCCCCCGCAAGGGCGATGCGCGTGAGGGCCACACAAATCTCCTCGTCATGGCTGCCCATTTCCACCCAACCTAACCCTACATGCTTCGATATGCTGTGAAATACACAAACAACCACATCCGCTACTCAAGATTCACAACTTGTAAAGCTACTTCGTCGAACTCAACCCTAATTGCTCAAAAACAAAAACAAAAAACCAAACAAATCCCCTCCCTCGAATGATGACTTGAACGAAAACATCGGTTTCCTTCAAATCTGAGCCCTACAAGCAATGACACTTGACTTAGTTGGTTTGTTAAAGGTTAGACTTGGGCATTGATGATGCAAGTGGAGTGGCAATAGGGCTTCCTTAGAAACATTACTACTGGTCAACGAAGACAGAATATTGTAATGAAGAAGGAAAAAAATAAAAATGAGAAGGATGTGGGAAGAAAATTTAAATTAAACTGAAATAATTAATTGAACCACCCCTGTTTCTGAGCCATGGCTTCACAGAATGCCAACTTTCCTCTAATCTGTGATGCATGGGCCATCTAAATATTTCCTGCTGGCATAGTGGGTGTCTTCTACAAATATATCAATGAAAGATATTTGTATTGTTTTCTTTTTTCAAAAAAATATTCCTTTTTAGAATACAATTTTGCAAAGCATCTCAATAATGCTAGAAAAATCCTTGGCTTGTGTGTACCAATATTGCCACAATTTGTGAGTTGTAGTATGTGAAAAGAGTTCTACCAATGTTTGGCTCTTAAAAATGTTATTTTTGACACATTCTACTTAAATTTGGACACTACAGTTTAGATCACAGCCACCAAACAAGCATTGTAATGGCAATTCAAACATAGATTGGTCAAATGGGAAACCAGCCAACTCCAACACAAGCTAATAAGCTATGCATTACCACATCAAAAGCAACATACCTACTGTAAGGAAAAAAACAAAATTCATGTGGCACCCTTTATTTCCATGTGTACAACCACTTCCTTCACAAACATTGATCTAATTTGTGAAAGCCTATTCCATTCTCTTCATGGCCTACACCAAGACTTAAAAACATCAAATTTAACAGCATGAATAGTGGAGTAGATGCCAAAATCATCTAACCCATTCATTCCATTCAGAAGTATTGCTTGCAAGAGAAACCATCAGAAGTCATGTGCATCAGAAGCCCTGGATCACACATTCTATGTGAGGCACAACCCCAAATGCACACATGTGGTTTAAATCAGCATTCTATGCAAAGGTAGAGAATGGAATACAAAACAAGGCTAGTGGATGCTCCACAACTTAGCAACAAATCCACCAAGAAAACAAGCTCTCCTATCACGCACCCATATGTGATTAAATTCTTCTTTCTTTGAGATTTCAGACTGGGTTTCACTGGAAAGATCCACACTCTTCACATCGTTCTGCCATTTTTTTCCACTTGTAGTAAAACAAGTACCATTTTATGTCTCCCCTACAGGATTGTTGTAGAGAACCCAAGTGTGAGGTGAGAACAGGTAGAGAGGTTCTGGAGGCAGTGGATGGGGTGATTGGATGTGTTTTTAGGGTGTGTTTTTATGGTGATATGTGTTGCATTATATTATGCCAAAGGAGAAAGATGAGTAATTAGTGCTGGGTATTGGAGGGAGGGGGTGGGGGGCATGGACTGCCTTAGTCTTTTGGAGCAAAAATGTTGACTTGCATGGTCCAACTTTAGAAACCCTCCTGGGACCTTTTTGAAACCCACCTCTTTTGACTCTGATCACTGGCTCCCACTCCCCTCTCTTCTCCCTCTTTCCTAGTACACAGTTTCAACCATTGTCAGTCCTGACATCTGCATTTAAGGGTGAATTTCAGTGCCATAGATGCAGGAATGTGCTCCCATGCACATGCGCTCCTCAGGTCCCAAACCCTAAACCCATCTATTTTTGGTCAAATCCAACCAACCAACGCACTGTTTAATGCATAGAACACAAAAACTAATCCCCCATTCAATGACAATAACAAAGCATAAGTCAAGGATGTAAAACAAACCACAAACTTTATCTTTGGTTTAAATAAAAAAATGCTTTCAAGGATGGTAATAAGGATCCACATTTGTGGTAGAGACAAGCGTCCACCACAATTTAGCCCCCCTTTGAATGGTGGAGTAAGAGGAAGCGCACAAAAGGGGAAGTTGAGCTCAAGCAAGCAAAAGACAAGAATAGTGACACAAAGGACTCAGAGGGCACAGAAGGGGGAGGAGGAGTCAGGGCCAGGGCCCTTTGGCAGGGGGGGGGGGGGGAGACTACCAAGCCATGGAGTAGAAGAGTAGTTGCTCTCTTTAACCAGGTTGACTGACCGAAGCAAAGGAGCGGATTCTCCAAGTCTCCCAGCTCCAGTTTGTTGCTCTTTCCCCGATTCCTTTTCAACTCTCAGAGTCAGTCATCGCGCGCGTCCTGCCCTTCCCTGTCGCGTCCAGGCATGGCCATGGCCATGGAAACGACCTCCTCCCGAGGCCGGCGTCTACGCCTTCGCGTTCTTCTTCTCTCCCCTAGCTATGGCTGATGAGCCAAGATCGGAGCGCTGCTGCTGCTGCTGGATTTTAGTTGATTTGTTTTTATCGTTTTTCCGGTTTTTTTCTTATTGTTGTTGATTTTTTATTTCTTTAGAGCGTGTGGGGGTTATTGTTGGTGTTGACGTTGAAAGTTGAGAGTTCGGTGCGAGAGGGAGGGGGCGAGAGGAAGGTGGATGAGGCGTGGACTAGTCATGGTGGTGGCCATTGAGGGACGGAGCCGCGTGGGTTAGCGGAGTCGTGGGAGTGCGGTAGGCGGGTAGTGGTGGTGGAAGTGGTATAGGTGAGGGTCTGGAGCGTGGGAGGGTTTCAGGAAGCGTTCCGTCGCAGTGTCTGGTAGCTGCCGGGGAGGGGTGGTTGGATGCCGAGTTGAAGGGGGAGCGGGTGTGGTTGGACCGACAGAGCAGCGGGAGGGAATGAAGGATATTTTGTAGTTTTTGGATGCTAGATTAGTTTGTCAGGGTTGTGAATTTTGCGTGGTGGTGGTAGAGAGTGAGTGATTGTATTTCTGTGGTGGATTAGGGGGTGGCTCTTGTTCGGAGGTGTAGGGCGAGAGTTGAAATTTGGTAATCGACAGTGACGATTGAGTTGGAGGTTTATAAAGACGGATTCGCTTGTTTTTGGCGCGGAAGGCGTTTGTGGAGCGGATTGGAGCGGAGCACGAGTCCGTGTTTTTTTTTTTTTTTTTTTTTTTTTTTCTCTTCCCCCCCCCCCCCCCGCTGGAAATGAGTTAGTGAGGGTTAGAAGAAGCGTTCGAGTTGGATGTCTTGGGACATGCCTGGAGTAGGAGGGAAGGGGTTGAGAATGTTCATGTGCGAGTGAGGGGAGAGGCAGGAACTGCAAGCCATCAGGTGGTTGTTCTGCCGGAAAAAATGAAGAGGCAAGGGTCGTACGATGAGGCATTAGTGAAAGTGGAGAGTGCAGCCGGGGGCGGACAGGAGGCTGCTGTGGCTTCGGGAAAGGAGGGACGGCATGACACTCCTCGCGTGAAGCGAAGAGACGGGGGTTCAGGTTCTCATGGAATAGAGCGAGATTTTACAAAGGGCGTAGAAGATGTAAGACGGCGAGATAGTGCTGTTTCAGGACAGAGGAAGAGCGCAATTGAACGGGAGCCTGATGGGAAAGACGATAGTTCTAAAGCAAGAAGTTCCAAAGGAGCAGCAACTGGATCTACGGCAACCGAAAACGGGGGCCAGAGTCACATTGGACGGTTGGGAACCAAGTCCGGAAGCTCCAAACCTACAGTTCCCTCGGGTAGAGACGAAAAGGAGGGAGAGGAAGTGGACACTAATACACAGAGCTCTCCAATCGAGAATGAGAACGAGGGTCGCAAGGCATTGGTAGGAACCAAGAGGGCGAATGTAAGGAGAGAAGAGGACGAGGCAGGGTTGGATAAAAACCGTGAAAGAGAAGAGGGTGAACTGGAGCCAGAAGTTGAGGCATCGCCTGATAATGGCCACAAGCACGAACAGGCTCAAGACCTTGTCAAAGAAAAAACCAAAGAAAACGATGTTGTTGAGAAGTCCGAGCATGACCGCGCGGAGGGATTGGCAGACGAGCCAATGAGAATAGATAAGAAGGATGCGCCAACCACGGTGAATATGGAAGTGTCGGAGACTGAGGCTCGTATTCAGGTCAGAGAAAGCCCAGAACAGCAAGTAACTGAGCCCGTGGCTGCTCAGGAAGTTTTAGAAAAAGCACACTGGGATCTAAAGCTCTCTGTAGAACAAGATCAAATAGAAACAGAGAGTAAAGAGTTTCTAGACGAAGGGAATTCGGAAAGACTGCGGCGAGCAAGTGTACACGACAGAGACTTCACACTGGGATCCTCCAATGAAGAAAACCCTTCACGACGAGAAAGTAGTGAGCAAGCAGGAACGAATCCTGCTGGAATTTTTTTTATGAGATTAAGCGGAAGTGGACGGGACAGAGAGGAAGCAAAAGGAGAGGAGAAGCAGGTAGAGAAAAAGCAGCGGGTAGAGGATGGTGCACACCTTTCGCTTGCCCTGCCTGACACTTCTCTTTCCCTCTCTTCTGGGGACCCCCGCAGCCGATCCTACAAGCAGCGTCGAGCTCATTCGCATCCTTCCCAACAGGCACCCACCCAGACATATTCTAGGGGTTTTACTGAATCTCTTTCCCTCTCGCATTCACAGCCTTTCCATCACAACCCAAGCTGCTCGCTTACTCAAACATCTATGGAGAAGACGGAGCTTTCAAGCGGTAGCCAGCAAATCTCCGTCGGAAAGGAGCAAGCGTCATATGGTAGCTGGAGGAATTCCCATGGCAGTCAGGGAAACGAAGCGGGGTTAGCAGCAGGAGGTTATGACAGGCGAAAATCAAAGCCATTGTATCATACAGTGCTTAAGAACCCCCAAATCCTGCAAGGTGCTCTTGGTAGTGAGCGCTCTAGGGGACAGGGTAGAGAACGAGGGTACGAGAGTGTCGATAACTCTCAAGGTAGTCATCAAGTTCCCGCGTCAGACCGTGAAATGCATGCCACACAGTCCCACGATGCAAGGCGTGCAATGCGAAGGGAACACAAACACAAAAGTCGGCATGTAGAGGCCGGGGAAGTCTGGTCCTCGCCATCACGTAGTGGAGACTCCAGGGAGCCTCAACCTCATTCAAAAGGGGAAAGGAATTCTTTCGGACAGAGAGAGAGAGAAGTAGCAGGAGTAGACAGGGAGTTTACGAGCATAGAAATGCAAGATATCGTGTCAGAGCCCATTCCATCCATGGCCCTCAAGCTGCAGGAGCTTCCCGACAGCTTCCTGGCTGGGTTGAAGGAAAGCTTGCGGGACATGCTGAACAGCATTGAGAAGCGAGAGCAATTTGTTCAACTGCAGCAAGCGCTTGCAGCTCGGACAGACCTAACCACCGACGTCCTATTGCTAGCTCATCGGATCCAACTGGAGTTGTTAGTTGCTGTGAAGACGGGGATATTGGCCTTCTTACATTCTGACATTCCTATGACCCACTCAGCATTGGTTGAAGTTTTCCTACAACAACGATGCCGCAATTTCGCCTGTCAAAATCAGTTGCCCGCAGATGAGTGTGATTGTAAGCTGTGTGCTCAAAAGGCAGGGTTTTGCAACTCCTGTATGTGCGTAGTCTGCTCTAAGTTCGACTTTGATGCCAATACATGCCGTTGGATTGGTTGTGATTTCTGTCTCCATTGGTGCCACACGGATTGCGGAATCCGCATGTCGTACATAACTCCGGGCCCCAGCATTCGGGGTGCAGCTGGGACCACAGAGATGCAATTTCACTGCATTGCATGTGGTCATACAAGTGAGCTCTATGGGTTTGTGAAGGATGTATTTTGCACGTGTGCTCCGGAGTGGGGCAGGGATGTCCTGGCTAGGGAGTTGGATTGCGTGCGTCGTATTTTCCATGGAAGCACTGATACACGAGGAAAGCAATTGTGCTCCAAAGCTGAAATGATACTGCAGCAACTCAATTCTCAGGTGGACACTGCAGTTGCCTGTCGCAGCATGATCAAGTTCTTTGATGGTAAGCGGCTGTCAAGGAGCTCTTCTATTTGTAACACAACGCTATACCTTGAATTTCTCCAACTCGTTTTTTTTTTTTTTTTTTTTTTTTTTTTTCAAGAAAAGAAGTTTGTTTTTGCTAATACCACTTCTCTTCTAGGATATTCTATTATTGATATTTGGTTGGTCAAGCAGTGCTGTTTTTCCTGTTTTGGTACAGCAGTGTTTCACATTGTTGCGAAGCTTTTAACTAAACCACGATTTGTGTTGGATTGTGTTTTTCTTTTTCTTTTTTCTTTCAGAGAGTGCTGCTTATGGGTCGACATCGAGCCAAGCACAATCGACACCGTTGTCTGTGGAAACAAAGAAGTTGCCTTCATCATCATTTGATAATAAGCAGACGAGCACACAAACAACGCTTGAAATAGCCAAGGAAGCCTTGGCAACATATGACAGTGAACTGGAACAGAAGAGACAAGAAGCATCAGAGCTCCAGCAGGAAAGGGAGCGCAAGAAGGCTCAGATAGAAGAGTTGGAGAGCATCGTTCGAATCAAGCAGGCAGAAGCGAAGATGTTTGCACTGCGAGCGGATGAGGCACGGCGTGAAGCTGAAGGTTTGCATCGTATTATGTTGGCTAAAGCTGATAAGATTGAAAAGGAATATGATGGAAAGCTTTCGAAGTTGGGGATAGAAGATGCCGAAGAGCGTTGTCGCAAACATCATGACACAGTTCAAGTGTTAAATCAAGCCCAGATGGACTTCCATGCCATGAATTTTCCGTTGTTAAATGAGCTCCATGAGCTTTTAAAGCAACTTGAGGCATCTAAACGGCACAATTGGAAATAGAAATTGTGTAGCTGGTACACATTCAAGAATTTGGGAGGGGACATCGGAATGAGATGTTACAGTATCAAACAAACCCTATCAACTGCATTCTCATGTATCTAGGATTACCCTGTACAGTAGAGGTTGTTCATACTCGTCAACGCTTATTGAAAGGTGCGCAATGAACGACAAGATCGAAGCCTTTCATCTTGACAGCATGTGTCGGACGTCAAAATTGAAGGGCTGGACTCGTCTCGCTAATTAGATGCACGCTGTTGCAAAATCTTCCTGTTCATGAATTCGAGTTGACTCTCTTTTTGTGAAATCTTATGGCGCATGGTGTTTAATTGCCACATGCTTGCGAATTGGATAGTGTGTTGTGCGCCTCATTATTGCTCAAGTGTACTAATATTGTATGAATTTTAACATTATCTCAAGCAGCAAACTTAATGGGTAGGTCTGAACTACGATCACGAAGAAAGCTCGTAGAGCGCTCAATATTACATGGCAAGTAAATAATTAGCGTATGTCTAGAGAGTACTAATTTGATTGCTGATAAGACTACTATCGAAGTCGAATGATATTAAAACCAATTTACTGCAACAGCACTGCCTAGGGTTTCCCTTCTTACCAGTAATCCATTATGTCCCAAACAGCTTTCTTTTCCAGGCGACGAGAAACATGCACTTCGCAGAAATATGAAGCGGATCAATTTTTTACGGAGGTCTGCTGTCAAATTTGCAAAATGACAATCAATAATTCACGAATGCGACTACGAAGCAATGCGCTAGAATTGAATACGAAGCCAGCCAGCAAAATCTGGTGCAGTTCACCAACTTCATTCTGACTGGATCTGGAATCCTGTGACAAAACTGGAAACGAGTCCAGGAACTCGAAATAATCAGCACCGCCCTCCGAACTTGCTCGTGTGGACTACCGAAGGCGCTGCAATTTCGGTAATGCCGCATTAGTAATAACGAGTTTGAGCCCAGATTGTAGTAAGAAGCGGAGTACAATGACGTGTAAATCTAATTTGCACAATGTCCACAGTGGAGAGCTTCAATTCTTGAATGTTGATTTCCAAATCTTCCATTTTCTCACCGATCAAGCCTTCCTACGGCTGATGCGCAGAACAGGTGATCCTGACTCGCAACCAATTTAACTTGGCCTGCGAAAGGGACCAATACGTTGATCTATATCGCAACCCATTCAGTCAGATCTATGTCTTAGGGCAGGAGCTCGAAATTTATGGAAAGGGTTTAGTGGAGATTTAGGAAAAACAGACCTGGATATCCGGCGACTCTACCAACATCATTCTGCTCTCGCCACCGCCAATTGTCGGAGATGATCTCTCCATATCATCATCGTGTACTTGAGGGATAGAATCACGAGGTAAATGATAAGACTGCGAGGAGAACTCCAGAATACGAAAATCTGAGGAGGTTGCAGTCCTTGGTAAGACAGCTGCAGACTAAACTGACATACTTATCTTGGAAATGGCTGGCACGGACGCAGAAAATACCGCGGTCTCAAATGGTTGTCTATAAAAGTCACAGTCTACGACTATCAACACGTTCAGCAGAAACGTGAGATTACAATGTCGCTTAATCCCATACGTCCCGCAAAGCTTAGAGGCAAAGTTCGCAGGGGGTGGAGAAAGTGTGAACCGTAAAAAATCGGAAAAATTCTGCAATACGTTCGATCTCAGTCGGACGAAAACCTCCAGGAAAAGATGTGGGAAAAGCAGGACATTCCCGGCACGCGGATCCGATGAGCTAGCAATAGGACGTCGGTGGTTAGGTCTGTCCGAGCTGCAAGTGCTTGCTGCAGTTGAACAAATTGCTCTCGCTTCTCAATGCTGTTCAGCATGTCCCGCAAGATTTCCTTCAACCTAGCCAGGAAGCTGTCGGGAAGCTTGCTCCGACTTTTGTGTTTGTGTCCTCTCCGCATTGCATGTCATGAGGATGCTGTGGATATCCATCCACGTAGAACTTCATCCATAAATGGATGTGAAGTGACAAAGACTACTTTAGTTGATGATTGTTCCAACATGCCCCCTTGCTGCAAACGTTGTGTTGACTGTGAATGGCATTATTTTATTTTTGATGAGTGTTCTAATCACCCACGTTTCTTGCATTACTTGGTACCGTTGTAGATACACGTAGTATAAATACATTATGTGGATATCTACGTCATCCTCATGTTGATATCCTAATCTTACAAATGCTGTGAAGCAACTTTTCCTTGGTGTAGATAGAGTGGCTCAAGTTTCTATTGTGAATATATATATATATATATTTTTTTAGATATGTATTATTTGTGTTGTATAGAGCAGCTTCTTTTTGCATTTCGTTGAGTACTCTGGCTACAAATTCTTGGATGCTCTTACTTTATTTGAGTGTAACCCTTGGTGTTGAGAAGCGGAAGGTTTGCAAGGTAAAGATTTTTGTTCATCAAAAGAGGTCAAAGAAATAGTGAGGAGAAAGTTGAGGATTTTGATTTTTGTGATGTTGCTTCTCAGGAGTCTTGCTCGATTTCTTGTCTTCATGACCATGATCAAGACATGGATTTCTTGGTTGTTGATGAAATTGTCCTAGAGTTGATAGGATGTTCTTGTTGTATTGTTGTAGCTGCGCATCTTGTGTTGGAGCATGGAAAGGCGTCGAGCACAAATGGTGTATACAATTCACAAGGGTTTTTGAGTGACGAGGTGGTCCAACTGTTTTAAAAAGAATTATTGCCAAATTACTCAAGAGATGAGCAATGGTGTGAGCTTGCATCTTCATCACATTTGAGTGGTGGTACATGCATGATCAATTTTAGAGCAGAATGAGGAGAGAAAGTTAAGAAAGAAGTGAAGGTAAAGGGGTTGACATTGTTGAACGCAATTGAGGAGTTGAGAGCGGCAGCCCAATTTTTGTTTGCAATGCCAAAGGTGGCAATGACAAGGTTGATGCTTCTTGGTTTGATGAAGATGCTTAAGGTTGGTGATGATGTGCTAAAATTGTTGCGCCTATTGCAAGCAATGTGTGAAAATTGGAGAGGATGGCTGGTTGAGGAAGGTGGTAACTAGGTAGTTAAGGAGATTAACAAGGAAGAGTTGTTGTCATGTACTGCCCTAGTAGTTGCCAATGAGTGGGACAATTTGATCAAAGCTTTTTAATTGCAACAACAAATAGATGTAGAGTATTAGGCAGAAGGTGAAGATTCTAGTTATTTCTAAGATGCTTAAGGTGATAGGTGAGGCATTTCAGGTTGTGAGGTTTGAACTGTAGAGCTTTAGTGTAGGACATAAGGTTTAGAGTTGCTCTATGGTTTTTGAAGAGTCCTTTTCTCACAAACTTTGTAAAGATATTGGTTTTTGGTTGTAAAGATCTTTTCAACAATATGCGTACATGACTGGCTGAGGATTTACCAAATTCAATGGTTTTGTGACGAAAATCACCTAGCACAGAAGTAGATAACAACACTAATCCTTTACTACCACTACGGAGCCCACACAAGCTTGTAAATATTTTTGCTGATATTAGCACTGATGGTCTTATTCTTGTTGCGTATTGGTATGTCCTTTAACAGTTGTTCTTGCGCTTGAACATCACCCTCCTTAACACACAGAATTAAAACATCAATGATCAAAAAATGATCCCCACCTTGACAAGAATCAAAATAATGAAGTCCTATGTCAATGTAAAAGAACTGTGCAGATTTTTAGGTACATGCATACATACAAATACATGCGATCGATGAGTGGGCTGTTTAGCAAGCGAACTTACAAGTTCTGTGTAAGCAAGGGCTAAAGAATGTAAAGTCGGATATCTCTCCAGGATCGATAGTGCCATGTCTTCAGTAACATTCCGCACCTGTACAGCCCACACATAGATAAAGAAATAATTAACATGGAGAACCTTGAGCTTTTGAAAAAGTAAGAAATACATTAGGATAAAAAAAACAAAATTTACCTGCATCAACTGGACGCCGAACACATCAGTGACACGTTCCATTTCTACATCCTTGCAGAAATTCACGAACTCCACATATCGCATACAATAACCTCCAGGGTGTCGGCCAGGTTTCCCGACTTCTAAGGAATACCGATCAATTATTGCAGTAGTCAGCTGACCGTACTTCTGAACTGTCTCACTTGTGTCACGAGTTCGCTGCACGTCAAACCCTTCTAAGATCTCGGTTGTGAACGTCCTGGCAGAGTTAAAAACAACGCATAATAGAGGCAACTTATAAGCTTCTATACAAGAAAAATGTGCCATAGGAATGAAAGTAGCTTCATCAATTTAAGAAACTGTTGTAAAACGCTGTTCAGCAAATATACAAATACATAAGAATTTTCTATTCCTAAGTTGTAAGGAACCATGCGAGAAAGTATAGAGAAGCTCTTACGCTGTCTTCAAACTCTCTGATGCATCAGTCAAGTTTGGATCTCCTTCAATCAAGTAAACAAGTCTCTTTATTCCACATCTCTGCATCCATATTACAAGGCTATAAGTTGACCATTGATCATCAACGTTGCAGAACCTACCGATTCCGGAAATCTAAAGTAATTTACAATAACACGAAAAAAACAGCGAGAGCTACGAATATATCATACAACACGATCATAGTGCCTGAAGGAAGATACTCGAGAGAGGATAGGAAAGAAACTTTACCTGAAGCCGTAATTTCTGCTGCTTGTACCGATTGTCCTTAATAGATGCCCAAAGGTCCTCAACGCGCTTTCTTTCCACTATAAAATCAAGCACGTACTCATGCCTCAAGACCTTGTGTCTTGCAATCCAAAGTGCATCCCCAACCGGCAACTGCCTTGTCTGCAAGGTTGGGGACCAAATGGTTTCAGTGGCGGGAAATCGAAAGATGCCATAAAATTTCATTAACGTCATCACGCCACTTTTTTGGAGGTAATAAGTGCGTGAATGATGTTGAAGAGCACATGCATATCTAATACAGCCTGACTGAACAAATAACGTCCACAAGTTATTATGGTGCACACGCTTAATCACCGACCTCGACTTGAACTTGGAATTGCACGCCGATTCGATCAGCAAACTTCTGTAGTGCTGCACCCCTGAATGCACAAAAGAAGAGAATATAAGGAGATGGCACAAAAACACACTAAAAATATGTTTACTCCCTTCGCATGAGGACCTAAATTCCTCAATTAAGTCCATGTATATGATTTTAAACATCTGCAGAGACGAACGAAATTGTCCTCCACCAAGACAACGACATAATCCAGGCACTACGTCTTAGAGGTAAAAAAATCGAAAACCAAAGTCAAGGTATCAGTACCTACCCTCTTGCATCGCGGCGAAATTGCTCTCGCGAGTCCAAAACAAGGAACACTTCGTATACCTGTCCGAAGCCTTGACCGACCTCTAAAGGAGGAACAGCCACTTCATTGTATCCTGTCTGATGCACATCCATGGTCTGTGCACTTGTGCTTAAACGGCCTGAAGGAGCTGCAGAACAAGAATAGCACGTAGAAATCACGTAATGCAACTGTAACTTGGTATTCTAAAAAATGGTTAAGCACCTATTAAAGCTACAAACGAAAAGTAGGATACACAACAAATGTAGAGCAAGAAATTAAGCACCTGTGCTTGTAGAAGGCACAGCCGCTTCCACGGTGACTACTGGAGCTGAGTGATACCAAGAGCTGTTTGTTGGCATGGTCCCTACCAAATACATGTGCACCAGAAAATTATGTAAGACACTACAAGCATGTTGTGCTCAAGTACAGAGTGAGTCAACTGGGCAATGGACCGATGCTTGTTACCTCTCTCCACAAAAGGTTGTACGGCAGGCTGTGAGACGGGTCCAATTGCTGCTGCAGTTTTTTCTTTCCCTCCTCTGGATAGGATGCCCAATACAAATCCCCAAACATCACTGTCTTGTAGACCATCTGTGGATGTCGCTTCGTTCAGAGCTAGTTGAATATCTTGTTCACCATATCCCATTGCTTTAAGCTGCACAGTTCAAAAACCAACCTCGGAGCTTATTGGAGATTACCAATGAGGTAAAAGTTCATAGTTAACTACAAGCAGTCATCAATCTTTAATGAGTTTCAAAGCAGAGGAACAAAAAGTGTCATCTACAAGAACTCAACTGAGCAAGAAGGGCAAAAAGAAAAAACACAAAAAACAATAAAAACAAAACAAAAGAGCAGCCTGTCCTTGACTTTACTTTATTAACATCAAGAGTAGATGCTTTTCCTACTGCACCATTTGATTTGGATTTCGATGCGCGGGGTCGAGTGGTGGTGGCCTTTTCTGCCCTTCCAGGAGCTGGTCTGGCATTGACTGGAGGAATTTCGTCTGAAACTGGAGGCCGGGTATGATCCGCAGGACCCAACCCTGCTCTGCCTTGGCATTCCTCTGCAGTTTTGTGGCCCTCCTCCGTGAGCATGTATCTACATTGCATAGTGACACCTCACATATTGTAAGAGTAGATGTAATTTAAAATCATAAAAAGAACATCGCTGCAGCTCATGATCATTATAAACGAATCAAACTTTCAATTTAAGCCGATACTAAGCTGGAATACAGTGTAAGAAAAGAACATGCCAATAAGTGAACTTACTTGGCCGGATTGCTCTTCTTTACCACCAAGCCTTTCTCTAATAGGGTCTTCATGGAGCTCCACCCGGAGTAGGAATAGTGAGGTCCACCTCCAAACCTCGGGGGTAACGTCCCCTTATTTGACCTGCCCACGAGTAGTTCATACGACGCTCAATGTGAGGAATCCTACGTTACTTTTTGAATATCAAACTTGACTAACTGTCGGATAATGGAGCAGAAGCACGAACAGCGCAGAAGTGAATGAGTACGTACTCGATAGGCATAGAAGCCAGGCCACTTGCTTCAGCTGCATCAATTAGCTCTTGCCGCATCATGAACTCTTTGCCTAACATGTGAGCTCTGCAGATATGCTACATCACCACTATCGAATCATCGACGCGATTCAATTGCCGACAATATCCTATCATTAAAAACAATAATCCAATTAACGCATTCGTAACATGTCGGGCCAAGGGACCAAGACGATGTACCTGTACAAGGTGATTAAAATAGCATAAGGAGCCGAGCTCTTTTTAGGCAGATATCTACGTGTAGCCTTCTTTGCTGCACAACCACGATGCATTATAAATCAGACAATTGAAGGCATCTCGAACATCTAAACTCTCGATCCTTGAAAGGTGAATTACGTCAGTCAGAATTAGGAATCCGAAAGCAATGTCGGTCAGTTTCAGTTTCAGGTACTGAGCAAACCTCTTTGTGATCCACTAGGTTGCTCTTCGTCCTCGTCGTCAGCCTCATCCTCGTCGACATTGAAGAACTCCGCGAGAATCTTCAACAACCATTTGCCAATTCCTCTACAAAAGCAGGAATTAAAGTCATTATTACTGATTCAAAACCAGGGTAGGAATTTGTGAGAAACTGTTCCAGGATTCCTGCGAGAGTAATGGTCTACGCATAAATTCCAGGGAACTTCTTTACTCATCTTCTGTTATCTTCTTCATACATTGTCCACACCCAACAATAATTTTGCAAAAAACCACATAGTGTCTCCATAGCCTTGATCATCCCGTATCGCCTTCCTTAAAAGCTAGACAAGTTCACTCACTTCACTTTGCTAGCTGCTCGCAAGCTATGCAGCGGCACAGTGGATTCGCAGACACTTTTGTGCGCTCCAATAAATACGGAATCGAGATTGTCACTGCGCTGCTTCAAAAACCACTCCTCGCGCTTCTCAACCAAGAAAGCAGCCAGGGCTTCATTGGCAGGACATTGCACAATCGCAGTATCCATTGTAACCACACAAATACCCTGCGTCTCCGACCTCTCATCACTTGTCTTCAGAAAGGACAATGCCACCCATCGCGACTTGAATACAACCCTAAATGATCCATGAAACAAAATGAAATGCAGAAAACCACAGTCCAGGCCCACGTCGAGGATCGGAGCGCACCGAATCTCTATCTACTTCAGCCATACGTCAATCCAAATCGCAACATGATGTTGGCAATTGTCTATTAGTGATTAGCGAAACCATGAGGTAGACTTCTGTATACAGAGAATCTTACAAACAGAGCTAATATAGAATGTGTAAGCAATTCCAAGGGGAGCACTACCAGGTGAGGGATCGACACCACGAAAACTTTGCACTGTAAGATTACATAACTTCATAAAACCTCACCTTAACTGATCCCGCCAAACAGATATTCAAACTGGGCGTCGCAGGGTCATTTTTAAGTAGAAAAACCTCGAATGAAGCCAAACAGGACTCATAATTTTTTTAAACCGCGCCGTTCATTACTGGCAGAGGCTTGAACCGCATGATTCATACCATGAGCCGTTGGGAGGAATTCGAGATCGGTTCGAGTGCCTGAGACATTTGAATTTCTCAGAAAGCTTCTCGAAGATGCCCTCGAATTCACATCCTCCATGACGATGTGTATCTTATTGTAAAACTTAGACCTAATTGGGAACAAGCACTAACATATAATTTGAAGCTCTGCTCCATCACAAGTTCCATTAAGACACTCCATGATTTGCGAGTACAATTTTGGGCTAGGTCAGCAGTTTTTTTTCATAGACCTTGACGGACTTTCCTATGAAAATTATCACACGGTATATGACGTACTTTGAACATTAATAAAGTTTTATTTTATTTTTGAATAAATAATAATTTGATCTAAATGTAAGATTGCCAGCAAAACGAAACTTGCATATTAATATAGTTAGATTTGATGTTTAAATATATAATTATCAATATATAGAATTAAAAATAGAATTGAATTTACCTCTAAAATTTTAATATTTAAATTAATAAAATATTCAATATAATTTTAAAACTTAAATTATAAAATATAATTAAAAAATGTATCTATTAATTAACAAAAACAAGTACTTGTATAACAAACTATCTAATGTTGTTTGTTATTTTTATAATTTATAATCTCAAATTATTAATATGTTATTTTTAATAGATGATAATAATTACTGGGAGGATAACTTTATTTTGCATTTAATTTTTAAGGATATTTTTAATTAAAATCCATTACATTTTATGTCATCTTACATTTATATAAAAAATTAGCAAACACCATTTTTTTTTTTCTTTTAATGATCTTTGTAATTTCTTTTGATTTCTTAATTTGGATTTGATATGTTCTAAAATAGTAGCCATTATTAAAAATAAATTATTTTTTTTCTAATTTATAAATATATCCTAAAGATAAAGAAAAAAAATTAATAGAAAAAAATTAAAAAACATATTTTTCTTGCTTTTATTTTTATTGAACTCAGTTAATACATCTATCTTTGATGATTTTTAAGTTGATAATTTTTCTAAAAAGATTATTTTTAATACTCAAGATTATAAATAAAATTTTAAATGAATTCTATTTTTATATATTTTATAAATTTAAGTTTGATAGAAATTATTATCTTAATTAATCTAAGTCTTATTTTTTAAAGATTCTTTGCAAATTTATAATCAAAGAAATTGAATATTTAAGATTTTTTAAATTATTTTAGTTAAAATATAGAAAGAAATATTTTTATATAATTTACTTTATATATCTAAAATAATATCTTTGTCTTGAATTTGACTTTCTTCAATTCTTTCAATATTTTTCATTGAGTTTTTTTTAAAATTTATGTACTATAGATTATTGCTAATTATGATATATTTAAGAAAATATCAAATTAATTTATCTAAAACTTAAATTAATCCACTTTAATCTTGAATCAATCCTCCACATCATTGCTAGTGCAATTCTTTCTATTAAAATCTGATGTATTATATATTAGATATTGAAGACATATCCAAAAATCATATATACACATTCCACATTAAGGTTTCTAGTACATTGAGACTTTAAATTGAACAACATATTGGCTTGGCTATTAATGCCTCAAGACTCATTCTAACTTACTTTAGTTCTTTTATAATAATAAATTTTCTAATATAATTGATTTATCCATTAATTCAAGGAAATAATTTTAAACGTCTTTTTGCTCAATATATACATACATACATGTTAATATAGGCTGTAGGTATAACATAAGTTTTTGATAGATAGAACTCTAATAAATGTTATGTAGTGTATTAATTTTAGATTTAAATAGATTAATTATTCTTTTCATAGAATCATTAATTTTTTAAATATATATAATTTTTATGGATAAATAAATTAAATTCTATATTTAACATTATAATTATTTTAAATCAAATATTTATATATATATATATATATATATATATATATATATATATATATATATATATAATACTTATTTTTACTTATATAAAAGTTTAAGCGATTTATAAATATCATGATTGAATTAGAAGTGAATGTAGCTTTGATATTATGTTATTCATGTTTTTTCAATTACATAACTATAAGAGAATTATTTGTTTGGAAATTATTTAATTGACTCATCTAAATCTTAAATGAGCCTATCTAAATATGGTGTTATTTATCTCATCAAGAATTTACCTCTTGTTAGTACAAACTATCTTATTACTTTTGATTTTATTTATTGCTTTTTTAATATACTACCTTTAAAAGCCTCAAAGAAGAGGTTTTTTACCTTAGTTATTTTTGCTTCTAAAATTTCTTCTATATAGAAATTAAAAAGAATATATGTTTATTTTTTGCCATTCTAAGAATTATAGAAAAATAATTATCAATCATTTTAATTAATACATTGCACTCCTTATACTAAATAAGAATATAAACCCTATAAAAAATAGCATAGAAAACCAAAAATATTGTATCTTATAACAAATCAATAGTTTCAAATCCATGTATATCAATTTAAAATTTATATAGGCTAATTTAATATATCTATATATATATATATATATATATATATATATATATATATATATTATCTACTTAATAGATATTAATATAATAAATTATTACAAATATCAATCAAACTTCAAATACATATAAATTAATTACTTGTTGTTTTTTAAAAATTATATATATATTTTAAATCATAAGCAATATTAAAAACTCTCTAACATATGTTTACATAATGTATATTCTTTTTTCTTTCATAATCAATTTATAATTAACTACAAAGTATTCTTATATAATTTTTATAAGTTTATATTTATTAATTGATATTATAAATAAAAAGATTAATCTAATTTTATTGGAATCATCATCATCATATTAGAGTATCTATTTTAATTAATAAATTTAAAGATATTTTTTTAATATACAAAAGATATTATTTGTATATTTGTCTCTAAATAAGTAGAAATATATTTTAAAATTTTAATAATTCAAGTTTAAATTGATTATATTAATTTAGATTTGATTTTTTCATCTTGATTGTATTTAGTTTTGTTCATGTTAACGAATATAAATAATTTATAAGATAGATAAATTAGATTATTTCAAAAGATGATATGAATTTTGAAGTTTTTTTAAATTTAATTAATAAATTAGATTATATTTTAATAATATCATTTTATTTTATTCTAACAAAAAAAATCTTAAAAAATAATATGTATTATTTTTTTTGCAGAATAATTTATTATTAAAGATAAAATTAAGATAAGGCCATATGCTTATCAAAAATATTATTGATAAATTAATTTAATACCAATATTTATTTTGTAAGTAGTTTATAACAAAAAAGAATAACCAAAATATTTACTTATAGACCATAAATTACATGATGTAAATTAGGATAATAAAATTTAATTTATATTTAGGTTAAAAAAATTAGAAAAGAATCAATTGTTATGTTTTTTTTTACATATTTATAAGTTATTTGAGTTATATATATTTTTTGAAATAGACTTAATGCTATCTTAGATATAAGTATCACAAAAATACATATTTATTATAATAATTATTTAGATAATATAAATAAGTAGAAGTAGATAAAAATAGGTTAGTTTGATGATATCTTGTAGAAAAGCTTCTTAGAAGCTTGATAGATGTGATTTCACCTTTATATGTATCTATAGGTGATTGATAGGCTAAACACTTGGCTTTTAAGTTAGTCACTTATTGTATATATTGGTAGTATGTGGTACAAGCTAATGACATAGTATACATATAAAAACTTGCTTTACAAGTTAAGACATGTGTCTTCCAAATTAAACACATATTAGAAGTTCCATAGATTGTTGCAACATAGCTCCTAGGTAGATAGTATATATAGAGGCAAGAGTGAAGCCTTCTTCACTTATATCAATTTATTTTTTTGATTTTTGTCTACTTCTAAAGGTTTTTAGTTTTTTTTGTCTTTTGGTAATGGTTATTGAAGTTTCTTTCTTAATATATATATCTAATTCTTTCTATTTTTTCATCTTTCTTCGAAAAAAGTCTCACTTGTTTATTTGATTTTATAAAATATTTGTTCTTGATATATTGACAAGAATATACTTACAATATAATAACTTTGTCTTTTCTTGATTAAAAATTGATTACTCTTTTTTCTTAATAAGACATAAGTGTATTAAAAGTTATAGATTACCCTCTTCTAAACTAATATTTTTTTTAATATATTTTTTTTTAAGTCCTTTTTTCTATTTTTCATGAGCAATATTGAAAATCTTTTTTTTTCTAAGTGTTATCATAGCAAAACTATTTGAAATGAAGGATGCAATGGCACAAATTCAAGAGCAATTAAAAGAATTAATGCTTGCAATGCACTAATTCAATTTACCATCATAAGAAGCAATAAGAATAGTAAGCAATAAATATGTAGAAATCATTGGAGTTACTTCAACATCTATATCAAATCATGTCTCTTTTTTTTATGATAGAACACTCTTTTAGTATTAAAGAATTAAGAAGTGCCTTGCTTAAGAAGTTTGATGGCACAAGATATAAATTTTGAAGATTTATCAATCAGATGTAACTTATGATTGAACTTCAATTCTAAAGCTATCAAATTCTAAAATCACAAGTTAGATTTATTACTACACTTCTTTTAAGTTCACCATTATCATTTTTTCTAACAATGAGATCAAATATATAATAATCTAAAAAAAAAAATTAGATGGAGTTTTAATCCATCTATAGAAAATATAATGTAATTTGTATTACAACCAACAAGATTCGTATTTTACAATAAGATAATAAATTACTAAAATTATATAATTTATAATTTTAACAACTTATAATTAATATCATATAGAATGATTTTGCAGTT